ATGGATGGATGGATGGATGGATGGATGGATGGATGGATGGATGGATGAGTGGATGGATAGATGGATGAGTGGATGGATAGATGGATGAGTGGATGGTTGAGTGGTTGGGTGGATAGCTGGGAGGTTGGATGGTACGTGTGAAGAGCTAGATATCTCCAAAGGATTTTGTTCATTTATTATGCTGCCCACTTAATGAACCCTTTTAATTAAATACAGTTTTTCCTTCTTTAACTTAAGAAATATTCCTCCTACTATAACTTTACCTTTTTTCTTTGCCTCTGTCTTAGTCACTGCTCTATTGCTGTGAAGAGATAACATGACCAAACAACTATTATAAGAGAAAGCACTTAACTGGGGCTTACTTACAGTTTCAGATATCTAGTCCATTATCATTGTGGCAGGAAGCATGGCTATATTCAGACAGGTACTGGAGCAGGAGCTGAGAACTACATCCTGATTGACAGATGGAGATAGACTCTGGGCTTGGCATGGGCTCTTGAAACCTCAAAGCCTAGCCTCAGAGACACTTGATCCAACAAGACCATGCCTTTTAATCCTTCTAATCATTTCAAATAGTTCCACTTCCTGGTGACTAAGCATTTACATATATGAGCTTATGGGGGCCCATTCTTATTCAAATCTCCACATTCCATTGCCTGACCCCCATATGCTTATAGGAATATCATAATGTAAAAATGTGTTCAGTCGAACAGCAAAAGTTCCCATAGTCTACTGCAGTATCAATGCTGTTTAAAAGTCCAAAGTTCAGAGTCTCTTCTGCGACTTATGGCAACCTCTTAACTATAATCCCCTGTAAAATCAAAGTAAAAAGCAGACACTTCCAACACACAGTAGCACAGGATGTACATTAACTTCTTAAAAAGAAGGAAAAGAAGCACGGTGAGGAAATACTGGACCAAAGCAAGACTGAAAACCGGCTGGGCAAACTCCTAATTGTACGTCTCCATGACTGATGTCAAAGAATTCTTTAAATAGCCAACTCTTTTCAGCTTTGTTGGCTGTAACATCCATCTCTCTCTTGCGCTGGTTCCACATCCAGTCTGCAGCTTTCCTTGACAAGCATCACACAACTCTGGCATCTCTAACACCTTGGGATTTCCAGTACAGTCCAGCCTTCACTTTCATAGCTTCATGGAATGGCCTCTCAGGGCCTCCATGCAGAGACACCCCTGACACGTACCTGGCCTCATCAGCTCTTCTTAGCCATGGAGGGAGATTCCACAACCCTTTTCTCATATCCTTGACTCTAAAGCCAGAACCATATGGCTGAAGCTGCCAAGTTCTGCTACTTGCTGGGACTGGAATTTGGCATCTTTGTTCAATTACATTTGTATCAGTTTTCTATTATTTATGGCTTTCTTCACCACTTAAACTTTAATTCTTTTCACAAGCTGGAAGCTGAGCTGGGTGGGGTCTTGCCCTGAGCTCACCACTCCCTTTATTCCTTTTAGCATCAGGCTTTTCTTTAAACTTCTTAATCTCCTTGAGCACTGGAACTTTGTCTTCCACATTACAGTTCCTGATGTTCCTTTTCTCCTCAAACTGTACATTTTGCAATTTCCCTTGCTCAGCTTGCTCCTTTTCATTATAGACCTGCATAAGAGTGACCACTAATGACCACAGGACAGAATCAATACTAGGATGTCTTGAAATCTCTGCCAATGTCATTAATCCAAAGCTCTTCAATCTATCCTCAGACAGATTTTTCTTCCTTCCTTGCTTCCTTCCTTTTTTTTTTTTTGACAAGGGCAAAAAGCAGCCATAATTTTCTCCAAAATATCACAAGAATGGTCATAGTCCATTGTAGCTGCTTGTATTACAAATGCTAATTATGTTCCCCCAAAAAAACTGCTTACATGAGAGCATCTACATGTAGCTACTGGGAACCTGCCTCCACTTGGTTCTGATTGGTAAATAAAGATGCCAACAGCCAGTAGCTGGGGAGGACAAACAGAGGTGGGATTTTAGGATCTCCTGGGCTTGGAACAGGGAAGAGGAAGAAGGAGAAGATTTTCCATGCCAGGAGAGTGTGGAGGAGAGGAGAGATGCCATACCTCAGAAAAGTGCAAGACAGAGGGGCATAGCCACCATGTGAAGGAGCTGAGAGAGAGGTTGAGGGAGAGGGAGAGGGAGAGGGAGAGGGAGAGGGAGAGGGGGAGGGGGAGGGAGGGAGGGAGAGAGAGAGAGAGGGCGCCACTGTGTTCTGCTCCACAGAGCAATGAGCTCACGACTGTCTGCTTGCAACTGTCATGAAGCTTGCTGCTAGTATTTTGTTTCTCCAATAGCACATGATTTTATTCCTTTTACCTATAATCCATATTTATTTCAAATGTATTTTTAGAAGATCTGGAAGCCAGACTCTGTATCTTACCTGCTTTTTTTACAGGTCTCCTCAAGTCTTCTAGAGCCTTTGCTTAATACCATTGTGTCCTGCCAACCCCGACTCAATTGCTTCTTAGTCCTCTGGCATTGCCAGGGGAAATTATGTAATTGTGCTGATTGACTCCATAACAAATTTATGAGTTCCAATGCTAGCAGGCCCTCATCTTTGCCGAACAATCCATTATTCTAGCCATGGTCAGCTTTCTTCCCCAAACTCATAATGGTTCCTTTTATTTTTGCTTTGTAATCCCTTTTCTCAAGTCATTTAAATCTTACCTTAGTTTTGTTTTTCTTAGTGGGCAACCAGCTCCATGTTAGTGAGAAAGTGAGGTTTCTACCCCGGTTTCCTCCCAAGCCATCTTGTCCAAAACAGTATTATTCTCAAAAGCAAGTGTTAACTTTATTGTTTTCTAGCTGTGTGACCCTCCCACCCCCCACCACATACAGTAACAATCTGCTATTGCTGTAACTTGGCTGTCTTCTGTGTACAATTGATGAAACCTTCAATCTCAGCATGCTGAGAAGTTAAAATATCAGAGGGGAGAAAGTGAGACACCACCTCCTCCCATATCCAGCCTCCAGCTTAGAGCATCTGGCTATTGTTAAACAAATGCTAATTGTCTCTATTATGAAGATTATTTAAGACTCATGTTTCTTTACATGAAGGTGAACTTAGTGTACATTTCTTTCTTGTCCCTGTTCCCTTTCTTTGAGATCATGCAAACAACTCCATTTGTGCTAGAAGGCAAGAAGATGCCAGGCCTCTGCTCGTACACAAGAATGTTACTCAGTGTTGCTGAACCTCATTAGATCTCCATGTAAATATGCATCTTAGAGCTGAGTGGTGGTGGCACACACCTTAAATCTCTGCACTCAGGAGGCAGAGGCAGGCAGATATCTGAGTTCTGGTCTACAGAGTGAGTTCCAAGACAACCAGAGCTACACAGAGAAACCTTGTCTTGAAAAGCCAAAAGCCAAAACCCAACCAAACAAAAATGCATCTTAGGTACATCACATCTGACTGTGATCATTTGAGAAGGATCATCTTAGAGTGCCGGGTACTGCAGCAGGGGTCCAGGGGTCTTGGCATTTACAAATTGATTTCAATGACATTTGTGGATTTGGGAGGAGATGTCAGGGGCTTATACACTGAAGGCCTAAAATCAGCCATAGGCCTAAAATCAGCAATAGGCCTGTCATACATGTATACTAACACCAAGTCTTGGGTCTCTGTTGATAAACACTGAAACAAATGGGTATAAGCTATTGTAAACAGGCAGCTTTTGTGGAAATTTACCAGCCTGAGTAGTCATAGACCTTGTAAATAGATAGCCTTGGCAGATAATACCAACTTAGATAAGGACAATCGAATCATAGACAGAGCCATAGCGACCTGTCCCCTGAACCCTTACCCAGACGATACCCTGTTCTGAAAGATATTTGTATTCCCCCTGAACACCCACACTCCAGTGTCATCCCCTTCCCCACATCCTGCCTTTCTGTATTTATAACCCCTGTGTGAATGAGTATAAATTACAATTTGAGAAAAATAAATAAATTATAATAAAAAAGAGTATTGACCCTGCTGCTGCTGCTATTATTATTACTATTATTATTTGAGAAAGGATTTTAGTACATAATCCTGGCAATCCTGAAAATTATGTAGACCAGGTTTGCCTTGAACTCACCACCCATGTCTTCTGAGTGCTAGGATTTTTCACTTGTGTGTGTGTGTGTGTGTGTGCATGTGCATATATCCAATGGGTGGGGTTCCTGCAGAGGACAGTCGACATCTTCCTTGGTAGGAATTTGAGGCGGTTCTAGCTGCCTGATGTAGGTGCTAAGACCTAAGCTTGGGTCTTCTGGAAGAACAGCCAGTGCACTTCACTTCCAAGCCACCTCTCCAGGCCCCTAAATCACTTTTTACTATTGCAATATTTCCCTGAAATAGACACCAACAAGACAGCCCTGAGAAGGACGCTGTTGTCTGTGTGATTGAAGTATACCTTGATGTTGGGTTCAGGTTGTGCCTTTTGAGTGGACAGTCTCATAAGTGGCAGGCACTTGTAATGTGTAACTTTTTACACATGAAGGCAGAGTTGGCTGTCAGAAGGAAAATGCCAAGCAGCTTCTAAATAGTAGCAATACCAACTGTTGACAGGGAATTGAAGTCTGTCATTTTTAGTGACTAAGCACACAGACTAATAAAAGCTCCTCTCTTTTGTCATGGCTTGCAGTTTAGTACTTGAAGTGTTGGTGAGGTGAAGCTATACCATACAGCACACTTCCACATGTCTATTGTTAACATGGCACCGGTCTTTGAAACCCCTATTTTATCATCTTCAGAATGTGCTTATTGGTTGGGCATCTCATCTTCAAGCACTACTGACACTTGGGCTAGGTACCTGTCCCTTGCTGTAGAAGGCAGAGCTTTCCTGAGCATTGTGCTGTGTTTGGATGAATGCTTGTATAACCCCAAACATGTCCACAGTACCCCTCAGTTAGGACAACCAAAGCTATCTCTCACCCATTGTCAAAAGTCCCCTGGGTTGGAGAACAAAATTGTCCCTGTTAAGAACCACTCATTTGAATTATTTCAGTGTGTATTTAAACATTAAACTTCTTGATACTAATAGTTTATAATGATTGTGTCTTGAGTTAGATTTCTTCTGTGGAGTGACTGGAAGGAGGAACAGATTTATTTGGCATTTGCTTTGGTAAGGAGATTTCTTGATGCAACTGTAGCACAGCTTTGGATTTGGTTCACTATCCAGTTTGAGTTTGAGAAGCCCTAGAATAAGCAGCATATGTACTGTTTGTACAGCAATACATGTGACTGGGGTGGGCTATGCTAGGTTATTCTAGCATAGTCACTGAAGCTAAGTCCTGACACAACAGACATTCCCCAATATTTGTTGGGTGGATGGACAGTAGATTATGGAAGAGATGCATGAAGCACCTACTCTGCTGATCTATTTGGCTTTAGGAACAGCATTTTATCAGTACTGCATAGGAATGGTGACAAAGTGACATAAGAGACACTCTCATTCTTCTGTGTCCCCCTGGACCCAGCCTGTCCCTCGTTTACTGCCAGTTTATACCCTCTCCCCATTTTGTGCCTTTATATGTCATCTCTCTCTTTATAGCTATGGTTTGAATGGATTTCCCTTGGGTGGAGTTTCTTGAACGTACATGTTCTATCACTTTTTTGTATCCAGCACAGTGACTCTATTGGGAAACAAGGCCAGCCATGTTTGACTGTGAATTGCATTTGGGCATTTCTAGTGATTTCTGTTTAATTTTCCTTAGTCATTTCTGTCAAGCTAGTGACAAGATTCCTAACAAGTCACCATTGCAAATGTCTTCCTTTTGGTTTTCTAAGATTACTGTGTTCCCTTGTAAATTAGTCTAGAACAATTCAAGTTTTTGATGAGTAAAACCTACACTGGTAACTGTGGCTGATAGGTGGATTTCATGGCTATGTGCTCACAATGATTTTAAAGATTCAATAATGAAGTATACTTTTTCTGTTTCATAGTTCAAAAGGTCAATGTTTGAGTTGAAAAATATGGTGATTAATTTGATTGGCTCATCATGTAACGTATATTGAAATAGCACAATACTCCACAAATGTATATAAGTATTATAAATATATTATATTATATATATTATATAATAAACTAAGGTAGGGTGTGTGTCTCAGTGCTAGAATTCATGCTTTGTGTGCATCAGTTGCTGGGTTTAATCCCCAGTGGGCCCCAAATCAAATAGAATGAACTAAATCGTCATCTAGACTTGTTAAGGCACAGAACCAAGTGTTTCCCAGCAAGGATCTATGAGGAGTCAAGTCACTGGACTCAGGCATGAGATTGGTCTGTTGATGAAGGGGGAAACTGAGGTTGGGGCAGCACAGATAATTATTTTTAAATCAATTTCATCTATTTTGATGAAAACAAAAATATTTCTTCCTTATGCTTTGTTGTAAATTTGTGGAAATATCTATAGAAGGTTATTCATGCTATCATACATTTGATTCATGGGATATAATATCTCTAAAATAGACCATTTGCTTGCTGCCAAGACTGTTTCCTTATAATTCTGTTCTCAGTCTTGCTTAAGTTTTTCATTTTCTCTTTCTCTCTCTCAGACCTTCTCTGACCATGCCCCATAGGAATCTGACAGGAAGCTGTAATGTTAATTGTGGTTGTAAAATACATGAATATGAGCCAGTCTGTGGGTCAGATGGGATCACATACTTCAACCCATGTCTGGCTGGCTGTGTCAACAGCGGTAATCTTACCACTGGGGTGAGTAAACTCTGTAAGTTCCTCTTTTATCATGAGTCCAGTATCTTGAGACAGGTGAAGGAACCCCAGGGACCCACGATGACTTCAGTTTCCCTTGTTCGTGAGGCTCCAAATAGCCCTGCGGGCACCTCTGAAAAACACCTCCTGAGAGGCAAATTGTGCAGGGCTATCACTTTTGTCAAGTGTGCTGGCAGGATCTGGGTGTGGATCTCTGGTCCTCATTAGCTGGCTCCTACTTTGCACTCATGCCAACTCAGGGAAACTTGATAAGGCTGGACTCCGGGCTTCCCATTTGTTCCTCTGCCAGGATCTTTGTAATGGATCTGAAGGTCAAGGTTACCATAATTGGCACTGAAAAAAGAGATTAGAGGCTGTGGAGGCTGGTCTGATAAGTGGAGGCTGTGCAGATGGACGATGACCATTTTTCATAAGCCTGTCAGTTAACTTTCTCCTCCACTCCTTAACTTCCAGAGTAAAGATATTTCTGTCAGCTGAAGAATAGTCTATTTTGAGAATTCTCTCTCCTGTGAATTATAAATAGGCTTTAATACTGTGGGAGGTTTTTATATTCTACTCTATTCTTTACTGAGCCCAATTTGGCTGTTAGCATGAGGACAGGCAGGAGGTGATTGCCCTAATTTAAAGGTTAAAATGCATTTGCTTTTTCTGTTCAAATCTAGAGATTATACCATTGACCTAGAGTTTAGGGGGTGCTACTTTTATTCTGAATTTGAAACCAGAGAGCAACATGGAAATTATTATTGCTGACAAGTTCTGGAGTGTGACCCTATTGAAGTCACGAGATCATTTCTTTACAGTGATCCCCCTGTTGCATGGCAGTGAATGAGACCTTGTGGGCACATTGTTATATTATTAAGGACTGGATTCCTTAATGGCCTAAATGGCCAAACACTCCACACCCAACCTGCTCTTACCACTGTTTTAAGCAGTTACCATGAGAAATAGTCCAGCTAATTTTCATTTAGTAAAAAGTAACATAATTGGCAAAGGGTTAATTGGCCCATTTAATATTTCTTATTTTGTTTTGGTAACATCAAGTAACTTGAAGAAGAGTCCTGTTTTGATCACTGTGTCTGTGCTCAGTAGACACAATGTACAGTTATAGAGACTTCCTTTACCCTCCGTCTTCAGTGCCTACTAACAGCATGCCCTACATCAGTAAGGCTCAGATATGTGTTGGAGAAAATGAGCAATCAATTTGGGGCACAGTAGGGTTTTCAGACAGCTGGAGTCTGTCAGAGTCCAGAGAACTGGGCCAAGCCTACAGTACAGACTGAAGTGATGACAACTCTATCCTTCCTTGTGGAGGTCACCAGCCTGCTTAGGGGACTGAAAGAATGACAGACTAGAGTAGCCAGTGGGAAGTCCGTGATCACTGGGACTGAAGCCGGCATCCCTAGGCCACGCTGCTCTACACATCAGAAGCCATCATACTCGTGTTAGGAGTTTAAGAGATGCTTATTTTAGGACTCATTGTGTGTTCAAATGTGTACTAGGGGCACTCTGGTGAGCACAAATAAAAATCAAGCTGGTTTCTGTTTTAAAGGCTTCAACTGGAGAGTCTACAAGTTCAACAGCACTACAAGCTGTGTGTATCGGACTCCAGATGAGCATGAGGCATCCCACAGAATTGAGGTTTGAAGCATCTTAGGGAAGTTTAGGGTTAAACAGTCTAGCTAGCAAGTTTTGATATTATCAAGGCAAACATTGACCCGTTAGTGCTGTTAAGAAAGTGTTTTATGTGAAACATTTCACATTCTTTAAAATACAATAGTTATTTTTAAGCATTCTAACTTTGTCAATATTCCAACAGCAGGCTTTATCTTTGATCAGCATACAACTTATCTTTATTTGCTACTCAGGTCCGAAATTACACAGAGTGCACCTGTGTCCAAAGTCGACAAGTGATCACCCCACCCACCGTGGGCCAGCGCAGCCAGCTCCGAGTGGTCATCGTGAAAACCTATCTCAACGAGAATGGCTACGCTGTGTCTGGGAAGTGCAAACGCACCTGCAATACCCTCATCCCCTTCCTGGTCTTCCTTTTCATAGTTACCTTCATCACAGCGTGTGCCCAGCCATCGGCCATTATAGTGACACTCAGGTGAGAACAGCACCAGGCAGTGAGAGAGAACATATTGCAGGAGGAGAGAAGCTAAGCAAAGCGTGGGGTGGGGTTGGCGTGGGGGGGGTGGGGGTAGGGGTGGGGGGGGGAATAGGAAAAGCTGCATGTAGGCGGGCACCCATAAATGTTCTTCTGGGCTTAAGGGAGAGCTTTTATTTCAGAGAGAAAGGATGGCTGAAACATTATTTTTTCTAGAATTTTTTTTCAGCTGGGCACTGTTATTATTTATCAAACTTTCTTTCCAGTGCTTTTAGTGTCTGAAGCCTTTGTGCTATGAGGTTAGACTTCATGAGTTGAAAGCCACACGTATGGGGCCTGAGAGATGGTTCGTGGTTAAGAGCTCTGAATGCTCTTCCAGAGGACCTGAGTTTGATTTCCAGTACTCACACACATAACCTTCTGTAACTCCAGTTACATTTGACACCTTCTTGTCCCCATCACAGGCACCAGACATGCAAGAGTGCACATATATACATGTGGGCATACACCTAAATTTAAATGTGGAAGGAAGGAAGGAAGGAAGGAAGGAAGGAAGGAAGGAAGGAAGGAAGGAAGAGGAAGGAAAGAAAGAAAGAAAGAAAGAAAGAAAGAAAGAAAAAGAAAGAAAGAAAGAAAGAAAGAAAAAAGAAGAAGGAAAGCAAGCCATTTCTATGTTAGCTTCAAGAAAACCAGACCCTCAGGAAGGGCAAGAATACTTTGGCAAAGTGACTAGATTATGAATATTGCAAAGGGTATTATCTCTGGCTTCATGGATAGTTAATACTGCACCTTTGGGATCAGTGAGGAATTATGCTGGGCTTGCATTTCAAAATGCTGAGTTCATTGATTTTACTGTTGTATAAAGTCCTGGAACTGAATCAAGGACAGGATAGACCTGGAAATCTGAGCTTGCGGTTGGTCAGGTTGGGATTTCATTGCTGTATAGCATATCCTGGTTGGGATTTTGTCTTGGTTTGGTTTGGTTTGGTTTGGTTTGGTTCGGTTCGGTTCGGTTCGTTTTGGTTTTGTTTTTTCCCTAGGCGATGCCTTGGAAGTTACTTTTGTTTTGTTCCATTCAGATCAATTTGTTATTACTTGCATTAAAGGCTGTGTATATGTGGCTCTGCATACATGACCAGGTAGGAAAGGACACTGTTGGGAAGCCTGAAGAACACACTGTGGATTAGAGGGAGCAGGGATGTGGTGAAGGGAGAACCTGAGGAAGGGAGTCCATTTTTGCTCTGTCCTCCCCCTCCCCCACAACCAATTATTTCAACCCCACAATGCAGGACAACTCACCAGAAGCACCATGCTTGCTGAGAGTGTCAGCTTGTGTCACACACACCTGGCTTCTTCCTCACTGGACACTGAGATAGACAGTTCCTGAATGGAAGAACGCAGGGCATGCAGGGCTCACTGGTTTACTCACTGTCAGCAGATCTTGATGGAGTAGCCATGTATACAGAGCTGGCAAATCACTAGGAGACACTTATCTGAAACATCTCATTCTTTTACCACTGTAATTCTGTGAGAAGTGTGAAGTAGACTCTATAAAGGTCATCTCATTGTACAGATGTTCAGAAGTGTTCAAGCATGGCAATTTATGAGCTGACTTCTAACACCAAATTTCTGAAGAGGGGGGTCTTTTAATCTTTGCTAATTGCAAAATCAATAGGTTCCAGTCTTTTCACCACATGGGGATTACGTAGAACATCAATTTTCAGGGAGAATGTGGCTTGCTGAAGCTTATTCTTTCTCTGACTTTTCATGTATGTGTATGTGTGTGTGCATGTGCGTATGTGTATGTCTGTAATTTCTGCTTTTACTTTGACTTAATTAGGATTTCTATTGTGATAAAACACAATGACAAAAAAAAAACAAGTTGCAGAGTGTATTTGGCTTATACTTGTACATTATAGTCCATCATTGGAGGAAGTCAGGACAGGAACTCAAACAGGGCAGAAATCTGGAAGCAGGAGCTGATGAAGAGACCCTGAGGGGGTGGGTGCTGCTTACTGCCTTGCTTCTGTTAGCTTGCTCAGCCTGATTTCTTTTCTTTTTTCTTTTTTTTTTGTTTTTTTTTTTTTTTGGTTTTTCAAGACAGGGTTTTTCTGTATAGCCCTGGTTTTCCTGGAACTCACTCTGTAGACCAGGCTGGCCTCGAACTCAGAAATCCGCCTGTCTCTGCCTTCCAAGTTCTGGGATTAGAGGTGTGTGCACCACTGCCCGGCTTTCAGCCTGATTTCTTATAGAACCTAGGATCACCAGCTCATGATGGCACCAACCACGATTGAATGGGACCTTTCCCATCAATCACTAATAAAACACTCTACAGCCAAATCTTATGGAATATTTTCTTTATTGAGGTTCCCTCCTTTCAGATAATTCTAGCTTGTGTCAAGTTGACATAAAACTAGCCAGGACATACTTTCCCCCCAATTTTGGAGGAATTATGAGAGTGGTTTTTGTTGGATACACTTTCAATCCTAGAACATTCTTACAAACAGATAAAAAGAGACTGCAATGGTTAGGATAAATTTTTACAATTTTTTCTTAGTTGAAGGGATTTGGGGGGGGGGTCCCATTTAGAGGCGCTTCCCCTTGGAGACATCTCCAGCCTGTGATTTACTAAGGGAATCTTAGTTGGTGATGTTTAGTATATTCTAGTGAATTAAATATTCTGGGAAGGTACCTGCTTTGCTTATGGTTCTGCCTAAGGCAGGTTTGACTTAACAGACATTGTCTTGGAACCATTGTTCTAAACCGATTTCTTCTTCTTCCCCAAGGTCTGTGGAAGATGAGGAAAGGCCCTTCGCACTGGGAATGCAGTTTGTTTTGTTGCGAACACTTGGTATGTCCCTGAATTTCCAAGTGTGCCCTTAATTCCTCTTTACAGCAGGCAAATGCTATGGTCCTTTAAAAACAGAAGTTGAGTTACTTGGTAATGGTTGTAATAGAATCTGACAAGATCAAAGGACACTTCTCTATTTTTTTTTATTTCAACTAAAAGTTGACAATTTCCTTTTGACTCTGAATACAAAGGTGTACAAAATTCCCCTAGAGTTTTAAATTGTAAGAAATCAAAATCAAGAGCTTTGTAATGAGTTTGTTATTTTGGTTTTTAGTTCTCTTGATACCTTGTGACAGGAATGTGAGGGAAACCGGATGCATTTTATTTGAGACACTTTCAGGCCCTTGCTGTTTTAGTGTAATTTTTATTGGCTTGTTTGAAGTGTACACTTGTCGAGTTTTCTGAGGCAAAGATCTTAAAAGGCAAAAAAAAAAAAAAAAAAAAAAAAAAAAGAGGTCACAAAAGTTCACAGAGGCTTTGCACACCAAGAAAAGCTCTGTGTGAACACAGCAGACACTAACACTTAGGAAACTCATCATTCCTTTAAGCTTTGGGACCTAGTGGGACCACCCGCCCACTTGCCCCGCCCCCGCTCATCCTGCCTGACTGTTTTGGTTTTGATGCCCATCAGTTGACTTCCTCAAATTCATGTTCCCTTAAGTGCCAGTCTCTCGTTTTCCTCACCTGCTGTTTCCCTTGACTAATTAAAACCATTGTCCATGGGACAAAGGGGGAAAACTGGTTTGTTTTTCATTCATGGTTCAGTTTTGAAAGGTGAAATATCTTTAAATGGCCTCTTTTCTGAGGTATTCACACTCCCTGGAATTCTGTTTGCAGTGAGTGTGAGTTGATGACTCTGAGGTCAAAGCTGACTACTTTCAATAACTTCCAGCAGGAATAAAGAAGAAAAAACAAAAACCTGGAGTGGCTTCTTTGGTGTCAATAAGACTTGGAAAGTTTTTGAAGATTCTTTTTTGCTGGTTAAAGAGGATTTCAGATAAAATAGCACCCAGTTAGGAATTATGCTTTTGTGCTTTTTGCCATAAACCGAAAGGTGCTACTTTTGTTGTTTAGGGGTTTTGCATGTATTTCTTTCTTTCTTTCTTTATTTTTTACTGGGTCTTGCAATGTGTGTAGTCTTTGCTGTGGCCTGGAATTTCTTTTTTTTTTTTTTTTTGGTTTTTCGAGACAGGGTTTCTCTGTATAGCCCGGGCTGTCCTGGAACTCACTCTGTAGACCAGGCTGGCCTCGAACTCAGAAATCCGCCTGCCTCTGCCTCCCGAGTGCTGGGATTAAAGGCGTGCGCCACCACCGCCCGGCTGGCCTGGAATTTCTTAAGTACATACTTTCCATGATGTCCTGCCTCTTCCTCACAGATGTTGAGATTACAGGTGTACACCATATTACCTGGCTAAACAGATGTTTTCAGAGACAAGAATTTGTCAAAGTGATGATTGAGTTAAAAAAGAGAGAAGAAAATACTTACTTTGGCTCTATTCTCGGAAGGGAGTTGGGTTATTTGATATGAATTTGGGGTAAAGATGAACCACCTGTAGAATCACCAATAAGCCAGGAAAGAATAACACCTGGCGAATGTTACTCAGCACAATTTTGTCTTCATTTATATTGTGTGTGCAGAAATATAGTTAAGCTAACCACCAAATTTGATTTTCCCCAAATTAAAAAAAAAAAGACTTCTCAGTTCTTTAAGAAACTTACCATCTGGGCTGGTGAGATGGCTCAGTGGTTAAAAGCACTGGCTGCTCTTCCAGAGGTCATGAGTTCAAATCCCAGCAACCACATGGTGGCTCACAGCCATCTGTAATGAGATCTGATGCCCTCTTGTGGGGTGTCTGAAGACAGCTACAGTGTACTTAAATAAATAAAAATAAAGTTTAAAAAAAAAAAAAAGAAACTTACCATCTAATCTTACTAGTAGGCTTCATTTTAAAGATTTACTTTTATTATTTTTAATTGTGTATATGTATGTATAGCTGTGTGTAGGTGTGGGCATGGGAGTAGAGGTCTCTAAGGAAGCCAGGGGCATCAGATACCCTGGAGTTGTAGTGAGGGTGGTGGTGAGCTGCCTACATGGGTACTAGGACTCTAGCTCACGACTGGGAAAGTTAGCCAACTCAGCCACTGAGCAGTCTCTCCAGCCCCTAGACTTTATTTTCAACAGGTACAAATTACTTACAAAGGCCGATTCACAGGCCCATTCATGAGATCTGAGTTGTCCTGTTTCACTTCATTCCTCTTTTTTCCTTTCCTCCTTCCTTGCCGCTTTAGTGAAGCCAGCTCTTAGTCTGTGCATGGACCATTCATGGGCTGCTATAAAAGTTCTTAGGATGCAAAGCATAAAAAGGAATAGGCTCTGTATCAAGGAGTTTCTGGGGTGACAAATGGCCGAGGCTTTAAGTTGAGTGCTCGTTGGAAGTAGATAAAGTAGAGGTACATGCAAGACACAGTGGCCACAGAGCGGTGCCCAAGAGATCCAGAGATTGAAAGGAACGGCTCTTAGGCAAGTGAATGGGTGGGGGCACAATGTTGGCAAAGAGTGTGTAATGGAATCTTATGTAGTAAGCTTGCTTTCCTGTGGAATTGGAAGAGATGTCTGTTAGACACAGCCCAGACAAGAGACAGCCAACTTCTCCTAGGATTTTCGAAAGCTTCAAAGATGAATTGTCGACTCTGATTATCTCCACACACCAAGTACCTTTGTGAAGTGAAAATCTGAAGTGTCTTGTTAGCTGCAGTGGGGTCGGAGTGTAAGGCACAGCCCTCTGAGGCATCATTCAGTGGTCTGACAGGCTCCTCCCAGGACCTCCACTTAGGAGACACAAGTCTCTTCACTGAGCTACAGGAAAGAATCTCATCATGGGTCAGTGAGAAGTTCAGAGGAGTTTATTAAGAAGACACCTGACTAGACTTGAGCATGGCCTTTCTGCTGGAGGCTCTTAGGACAAAGACAGTCCACACCGCTGTGTGGTCCTGGCCCTCCCCGGAGAGTTGGAATCTAGCATCTTATAGCAGCCGTGTATTAATTTTAGTGGCCTTGAACCTGTTTAAAGGGCTTCTAAGAAACAGTAACATGTTTTTCAGTAAATGAGATCAGATGGTGGTTTTGAAGTTCATTGGATGGGGTTATAGACTGATAATCAAAACTATAGATCACAGGATTGAAAAACCTCACTAGACCCGATCACCATGGAGTTAAGACATGTTTTGATTATAAACAAGGTCATGGTCTTCTCCGTGATATTCTCAATAACCAACAATAGCAGGTGTACAGCTGACAAGGCTGGAGGATCCTTTACATGTAGGCCTTTTGCATGCTTTATTCCTGGTACTTTAACATTCTTTTTTGAAACATCTCTTTTAAAAGAAATATTGTCTTTATGTAGGCAATCATTGTAGTGAATTTTGTTAATTATATTGAGACTCTCTCTCTCTCTCTCTCTCTCTCTCTCTCTCTCTCTCTCTCTGTGTGTGTGTGTGTGTGTGTGTGTGTGTGTGTGTGTAGCTGTTGGTAGTGTGGGACTTTTGTTGAGGTCAGAGGTTGGCATTTGGACATCTTCCTTAATTGTTTTTCTACCTCATTATTCATGTATATATTTATTGTTACTGGATCTCACTGGATACTTCCAACTGGCCTGAAACTCACTATGTAGACCAGGCTGGCTTCGGGCTCACGGAGCTCTTGCCTCTACCTTCAGAGTCCTGTGATTAGACATGTGCACCTCCATACCTGGCTCTACTTTAGTTTTTGAGGCAAGGTCTCCCTTATCCTGGACTAGTTTGAACATTTTGGCTATGTTGGCTGGCCAGGGAGCCTGAGGGTTCCCCAGCTCTGGAGTTACAGACACGTGCCGCTGTGATCACGTGGGTTCTCACAATCTGCATGCTGATCTTCACGAACACAGAGCAAGCACTTTCCCTGTCGAGCCACCTCCCCAGCTGTTTGTTGTAAAAATGTTGACTTACAGCTTCAAGAGACTTAGACCAGACTCTCTGTTCCCTGGTCCCCATAACATTCCGTCTTTTTGTCCTGGTCCAGTCTGACTTAAGGGTGTCAAGATCCAATGTTAAGTTTGAAAAGATTTTGTGTTCGAATTTTGGGCAATAGGCAGTTCTTTCAACTCAGCTAAAGGCTTATTGTGAAAACTTTATCAAGTGTCTAATGTAAGGACCTGGTACCCATAGGATGCAGTAGCTACCTTTTTTTTTTTGTCAATCTAAAAAGCACTAATACATTCTGAGTTGTAAAGTGGAAGATGTTAAGTCTTTGCTGTTTATTTTCATAAGTAAATTGCAATTAGATGAAAATGTCTTTAACAAAATTCAATTAAACAAAAGTCATTCTCTTGGCACTGACAAGCAAGCAGCTTGCTTATTACAAATGTGTTTTCTCTTACGGGATGTGCTATATCTTTGTGTTTCTTTTTCTCCCCATGACTGCAGCATACATTCCTACTCCGATTTACTTTGGAGCCGTGATTGACACCACCTGTATGCTCTGGCAGCAGGAATGTGGAGTGCAGGGCTCTTGCTGGGAGTACAACGTGACATCATTTCGTTTTGTCTACTTTGGCTTGGCTGCTGGCCTCAAGTTTGTTGGCTTTATTTTTATTTTCCTGGCCTGGTACTCTATCAAGTACAAAGAGGACGGATTGCAGAGGCAGAGGTGCAGAGAATTCCCACTGAGCACTGTGAGTGAGCAAGTGGGCCGGCCCAGCAAAGCTGAGAAATACTCCTGGGCTACATCATGTCCAGCCTTCAGCACCCAGGGGGAATTCCATGAAGAAACTGCTCTGCAAAAGGGTTTCCCATGCACCACACAGACATATCCTGGACCTTTCTCAGAAGCAATAAGTTCCTCTGTGGACCCTGGGCTGGAGGAGAGCCCCGATGCTGCTCTGTAGTGTCCCTGCTGAAGCCTGGAGAAGGAAGCCTGTTTTGTTGGTTGAGTTGAGTATGGCAAGTTGAGAAACACCTGTGCCTTCTTTCTTTTTTTAAACCTCCACAGACACAATCCTCAAACCAACAACACTCAGTATACACAGCCACTGTTGATGAGGGCTGGATACCTCAGCAAGACTGACAGCCTTTCCCCTCTTTTCTCCAGGGAGGAGCTTAGCTAGATCTGTCGTCATGTCTGCTAGGTTCACTTTATGTTCCTGCTCCCGTTTGGTAGAAGCCTGAGGTCCATGGTTGACCATGGGAAAGGCTATGACCACACATATCATTAGCATACACTCCAGATAAAGGTGAGCTTGACCATGACTTTGTATTTGCAAGTCAGAGTTTTTAGATTTGAACACCTACTGTGAGTTCTGCAGCAAAGCACAATTGAATTTGCCTCAACTATGCAATTTGATTGGGAATACAAAAATGTGGCGTGTTCCTTTGGCTTTCAGAGAATAAAGCAGATATGTTTTCATAAGTGGAAGCTGAATGTTCCCTAAAGCACTGTTAACTGCAACTTAAGCCATAACAGACTTATCAATCAGGTATAAAATTTCAAATGCTTGAAAGAACTGTATTCTGCAGTGGAAGGATTTCTTAAGATGTATTTTCTCTTAGTCTGTTTACTCCATCTTAAGGTAGATCAAGAGGCTGCTGAACCATACATCTGAGAGCTTGAATATATAAACCACAGTATTCTTTCATAAGGGGCTTTAAAACTAGTGTGCTAGACAGTATGGCTAGAAACTATAATTTGAAAAGCATAATAAAGAAGGAAATGATGGCCTTCGTATCTGAGGAATTGTTTCAGCTCTTTAGGGCCCACTAAAACTAGGTAAGAGTTACTACTACTTTGACATTCAAAGTAGTTGATACAGAAATTCCCAAGGTAAGAGTGAGTCCCAACTAGGGAACTTCACTTATATCTTTAACATACTGGCAAGTCTCTACTGATTTTTTTTTTCTGTATAGAAAGTGGTCATGGTTGCCTTATAAAATGTATAATTCAGTCAGGAAAGCTGTACCTAGGATACAAAAATCACTGCACAGTAGACGGGACATTTGTCAGCTGAACATGGAATATGATCATACTTCAAATAATGAGTTAGAATGTAAAGCAAGCTAGTCTAACATATTGAACCCTGTGTTCTCAAAGCTAGCATCATTTCATGGTGCCCTTTGCATCTCTGTTCTTTTATCCTTCCTTAAGTGGCTTGGAGGCAGGATAATTCCCTTCTTAAAGGCACCTTGGGTCCATTGACAGCTGTTCAGCACTGTCTCTCAGCTTCGGTGCTGCTTAGGATGCTTTCTGTATGGTTCTTAAGACAGAGGCCTCTTGGCAAGCATTTGTGAATTGACAGTTGGTAACTCCTGGGATCTGGCTGCAATGGACCAAGACATCCAATGCACCATAAAATTGTGGCCTCTCTGTCAAGAACCTCATGTCATATAAGGCGACCTCAGAAAATGTTTCCTCATCTGGAAGAGAGGTGGCTGGCAGATGGGCCATGATTCAGACACCTACATTCTTGGCAGACAACACAGGTAGAATTGTGTGTGTTCTTAATACAGTTCCTGGGTATAGGACTGATTTCCTGTCCATGAAGAAGTCTGCTAGTCAAGTGGTTTTTCTGAGTTCATGTAGTTCATGGAGGAGGAATTCATCCTTAGACTGGGTAATGTCTATAAGAGACGAAGCTAGTGCCTAGGTGAGAAGAACCTTGCTTTGACTCCTGGGCTTAGCTGCCATGGTGGTGGGGTCTTGTTTAGCTATGATAGATTGTGAATGCTGTGTGTCAGATTCTGACCAGTGTAACAGACATGAAAGGTTTTCATAAAGTAGTGCAGATTAGCCTACAGTGTAGTCTTGGGACTTGGTGTCCCTTGTTGGCCTCTGTGGGTGATTGTCATTCTTTAAGAGGGATAGTGAGTGTCCTTTGGCATTGATGCTAAGCTGTGTAGGTTATAGAGAGGTGGTGCTTTCTTAATTTTTCTGTGATAATTAAGATATTATATTAAGAGACTTCTGATGGAATTAGTCATGTTTTGGTACTAAGGTTGATGGGCTCACCAAGAGTAATTAGAAAGCTTCTGGTCTCTTTCTCTACCTTGAATTGAGTCCAGCAATTGCTTACTGGGCACTGGTTATGTGTTAATACCATTCACCACTCCATGAAATCCTTTGGGATGCTGAGGTCAGAACTCAAAGACATTGACCTAGGATGTGCACTATAGTGTGCAAATGTTAAACATTAATATTAGGTAGCAGGTGTAGCATTAATGTGCTGGTGGTGACTATAGAGTAGGTCCTGAAAGTCATGAGGGAATGAAGTTCTATATTATACATCAAAGATTGCTCCCCAGATGTTTTGGGCTCTGGCAGCAATCATCTGAATATTGCATAGCCAGTGAGTGACTATTTCATAGGCAGTACCATTCAATTGTACACATAGAAGAGGTCTTCTGTTTCTAGTAAACTGGTTGTTTTACTTGTAGTCGCAGCTCTTAACAAGCATAGGCTTTGAATTATTTGTCTTGACAAAAAGGCAAGTTGTACTTGTATCATCTCTATAAATTAATGTGTTGTTTGGCTTTAATATGCAAATGTAATATACAGCTCATTGACTTAGAAACTCCCAAGGGCTGAGGGAAGAAGGTCGTGGAGAACCTTCTTTTGATTTTCTTCCTTAGTATGAGGGTCTTGTGTCAGGGAGGTGGAGTTACTGGTTGAGAATGGTCAAAAGTCATTTGGATCACCGTGGGAGACGGGGATTAAGAGAGCATTTGTCGTGGTGACTCTTTGCAGAATGGTTTCCCAACATTCAACACCCACTGTATCTCCTGGGTTAAGAGCATGAAAGCCCGGTTTCCTTCAGTGGTGAAGGGCTGAGCTCGGGACCTCACATGACCTAAGCTCCTTTTCCCCTGAGCATCTCCCCAGGCTTCTCTGGAGAAGATTTTTGTTTGTTTGTTTAAAAAACAGATTTGAACCCTAGACTCAGAAAGTTAAAGCCAGTTCTTTAGGGTGGCTCAGAGGAACAGTGACAGGGGTTGGGTGATATATCCATTGTAAAATAAGCACCTGTCACTTTTTGATGCATTATTGTTTTTGAGGTTATAGAGACATTCTTCAGAGTAGAGACATTTCCATGTATGACTAGAAGAAACATAGCACATACCCCTGAGAGCCATCCACACTTCTTGTTTAACTAGATTTTTCAAAGTAAATGTTATTTATATAGCCAAGTATAATATTAAAATCATTTATTATAACTTACTTAAACTCTTTATTTATAGGTTGAGTTTAATAGAGAAGACATCCAGTTTGGGTATTAATTAGGATCTTTGTAGAATTTCCTAAAGTGAAATTTTATGAAGAAAAGGTTCATTCTGATTGGTTGTATCTGAGCTTTGGGGGTTTCAGGTGTATTATTTACTTACTTTTCTCCTGTCAGTAGATGAACATTTCTGCTAACTTGTAGACAGCTATAGGTTTTCAGATTATTAGTGAAGATTTTAAAAGAACACAGAGAATAAACTCCAAGCCACAGACCCTGTCTGTCACCTCAAGTGACTGTGACGGTGAACTGCATCTTTGCACTCAGGGAAGCCAGCCCCTGCAGGAGTTTATAGAGTGGGGCTCCCAGAGGGCTTAGAAATCCTGTTCCACCGACTATCCGAAATGTCTGTCTGGTCCACAGTGCTAGCTTACAGTCTTTGATGAACCTCTAGCCAGTTTTGTTTTTGAAGCTGCTTTGTAGAACCCTGTATGCATCAAGGATGTGCACCAAGGAACATCATCACCGTGTGGAGGGACCCAAAGCCCCAAGAGAAATCTCCCATAGGCTCTGTAGCAAGGCAAGCACTTGCCTAAGGTGCTAACTGATAATACTTTGATATCTCTCTCTCTCTCTCTCTCTCTCTCTCTCTCTCTCTCTCTCTCTCTCTCTCTCTTTCTCTCTCTCTCTCTGTGTGTGTGTGTGTCCATGTCCTAGAGGTGCAGAATGCGTGGCTGCTTAGGTACACGCTGAGTATTCTACATAGCAGGTAGAAACCAGAATGTTGTAAGCCCCAGAACAGCCTAGAAGCGAGACTCACCACCAGTTCTGTTCTCCAGACTTGTGAGTAGTCTTCCGCGGTCGGGAGGGGAGTGGCTGGCAGGTGAGGCTGGTGGCCTGGTGTGCTTTGTCATTTCTCTCTGCTGTCACCTCATCTTCAATGGTAGTCTGTGGTCTACTGTACGGCCGAAGGCAAAGAAGATGCTGCTGGCGTTGTCTGTTCCAGACTTCCCGTAGTGTTTCAACCAGATTTGTGTTTGTCTGAAGAGGTTTAATTTAAGCAGTCAATTTGTACTCAGCCTTAAGGAGGGTCAAATGTGACCAGAAGCTCATCATATTGCTGTTGGCTTTGGCAACATTGAATATAAAATGCCTTGGTGCTAAAGTGTTTGTAGATGCATGTTCCTCCCTGAAGTCGGTGTTTCAGTGCTTTGGGTTTGGAAACCTGGGGATTTCCCCTGAGAGAACAAGCCCCCTCGACCTCATTTCCACAGTCCAGAAACCCTATACTGGAAAACTGAGACGTGTACAGGAGAATCCTTTTCTACGCAAAAGTCAGTGCTTTTGATATTTAGTTTAGCAAGAATAAGCAGATGCTAAAAATAATTTTGGAGAGATAAAAGCATATTTAGATAATCTTATATCTTCTACAGAAAGTTTCAAGCCCTGCGCAAGCTGCTCTTTAGCCTTGGGATTGACGCTGCTGACTTTGATTGGTACTCTACTCTGTATGTCGAACATGCAGAAGCTAATGTTACTGAAAGCAAAAGTAATGGTAAGGATGTATTAAACTAACTGGAGGATTAGGACTCGACAGTGGGCATTTGTCTTCAAATATATACCTCTACCCCAAACCCAAATGTTAATCTAGGAGCATGAAGCCCAAGGCCAGCCTTTAACTTTGTAGAGTAAGAAAATGTGAACCTGTCAGACTGGTATTAGGATGTCTGTGGAGAGTGTGTGTGTGTATGTGTATCCGTGTCTTTCTGCCTG